AAAAGGATATGGTAGATATAAAAGAACCGGAAAAGAATCAAAGGCAAACAGTGATCAAAGATGTGATACAACATCTCACTGGAGATGACTATGTAAACTAGGGCTCTTCAGTCTGGAGAAGAGAAGGTTGATGTGAGATTTGATTGACATTACAAAGTCTGTGACACAGAGAGGTTAAAATAAGGTTAGACACCCACACTCCCCTCTCCCAGCACAGTCTCTAGGGTACATTAATAGATTAAGGCCCGGTTCCAAAGAAGCAAAAAGAGGTTGCTCTTTGCACAGGGGGCAGTAGATGCCTGGAGCTACTTTCTAAAGGCTGTGTGGCTGCTAATAACTCATCTCCCTAAGGGGAGGTTGGACAAGTTTGTGGAAGAGAAATTCATTGAAGGTTGCTAAGTACAGTCTGAGAAAACACATCTATCTCAGGAAGTCACCAAATTGAAAATAGTTGGATGCTGTGAGAATGTTAAGGGGAAGTATTTATATGTTTGCTATGTTCTTACTCATCTTGAGACATCTGCTCATGGCCAGTGTTGGAGACAGGATGCCAAGCCTTTGTTCTGGCTTAGTACAGCTGTTCTTACTTTTCTTAAAGGTAGTTTTTCAGCCTGATGTGGATACTTCATTAAAGATTTTAGCATAAAAAGAAAAAGCCTAATAAGCAATTTTCAAGTGAGAGAAGTAATAGGCCAGGTAATCACGGGTTATCTGTGGGCAAATGGTGTATAACACACCTATAAAGAAGGCACAAATGATCCTAGAAAGCATAAAGTGCTTCAAATAGAGCTGGGAAGCATTCATGTAATTAATTAAACCTATTCCAAAATATTATGCACTGCTCCAATAGTCTGTATTCACATGCAGAAGAGGCCACCAGGATAGTTACTGAGACTGAGTGTCTGTTCTACAAAAAGCGTGGGCTTTATTTGAATTACATGCGTGGCTGCCATTACTGTGTGGAAATGCATCACAGACAAAATGCCAGCAAGGGAAGAGAACTAATCAAGCTAAAGAATAATGTTGGCACAAGAACAAGTGTGTGTAAACTGGCCATGGGTGAGTTTAGGGAGAAAACTGGGGCAATCTTTCCTGCCCTTTTAGCAGCAGTTTCGCTGCAGTCTTACAAGAAGCGTTGTGGGGTTTGGAATAGTAAAAGTTTTAGGGAAAAAAAAGATGAGGGTGTTCTCAGTAGTTAAACCAAGCTTGTAGGAGAAGTCTGGGAAAGGGGTGCAGAGCTCTGTCTGTTCCTTGGAGTGAGTTGCTCCAGGCCTCCAGCTCCTCTTGCCTGCTGTGAGGTTCTGCTGTCTGTGCTTCTCGGCCAGATTTTGTGTTGTTATTTAGCCTTTCTGTGTTCCTGTCACTTCCTGACCATGGCCTTTCTACACTTCAGATAGTGATTTGGATCTCCTCCATCCTTCTGTTGTCTGATCCTAGCCATCTTGTGAGATGCAAACACTTGCTGTTTAGCCAAAAGAAAAACAAAAAGACAGGGTCAGGTATAATGCAGATTTGGGGGTATTTGTTTACAAGAACAGAAAATAGAAACAATGACAGCTGTTAACAGCTTGAAGAAATTGTTTGTAGTGATTCCTTACCAAATAAATATGTTCAACCTTTCCCAGTTTTGCCTTATGTTCTTTTTTTCCAAGCTGTTTATTAATAAGACTAGCAGTGATGATGACAGATTGGTTTTGCACAAAGCCATGTGTGAAAGTATCTTTAAAAAGAATTACCCCTGGTAAAATTCCACTAAATATATTTTAATGTCTCAGAACAAAACTTCGCAGCCCTGTGTCACCATCAACCACAAAATTCCTGTGCTAGTGCATTTATTTAATTCATCCATTAATTGCAAGAAAGGTCAATATTCCTGTTTTAGAGATGAAGTAACTGAGGTACCTGATGAACATGTTTGAACTTTCACACAGGAAAGTTCTCCTAAGTCATACTTGTCTGTGGATTCAAGCAAACACAGTCAGACACCAGGAGAATGTGTGCTTGTTCCCTGACAAAATTGAGGACTATTTTATTGGTTTGAGGTTTTTTGATGGTGTGGTTTTTTTGTTTTGTTTTGTTTTGTTTTTGAGGATGGGGAAATTGGGTTTTTTTCTCATTTCTGTCTGAAGTGAGGGAAAAAGATGTTTTCCTTGTCTGTGGCTAGTGTGTAATCTCATAAATTTATGAAGAGCTCTGTAAGTTCTGGGGGTTTTGGTGGTTTTTTTTGAAAAGTCTGTGTAGCTACATTTCTAATCTGAGCTTTAAATTTAAGTGCAGCTTTGCAGGGTCACAGGTGAAATGGCCAGAATTTGGAAGGTAAGTTTAAACCCACACTAATTCTAGTAGGGATCTGGTTTTCTCCAAAACTGGATTTTTCATCTGTTGAATGGATGAGCCCTTCCACCTCAGAAGGGAGAAATTAGTACTACTCTACTAAACAGGTTACAGGGTTGAAGAGATGAGGAGATTTGGGTACTAGGAGTCAGTGTGGTTAGCAGGTCATGAGGTTTATCTAAAATATATTTCTAGTTGGATTATAGTTCCTTTTGTTATTTATGTCCATCCTTTACAAGAGGTAAGAAGTAAAAATAAAAAAAAAAAAACAGCAATCCAAGACAAGATCAGGACTGGACTGTACAGGAGTGTAGAAGGAGCAGGGAAGAGAAGTAGCAGGAGTTAGAAGTAGCTAAGCAGCACCCAGGAAAAAAACCACACAGGGCCCTTTTTAGAGTGAAATATGGGTGTAAACACGCAGGTGAGCTGCCATTGACCTCTTAAGCTGATTGCTTTTTGCAGTTGTAAGCTCACAGTTTCATTCATGAGCTTTTTAGAATCAATGTTATTGATACTAAATGATAACACTGAACAGAGAGAATAACTGTGTGCTTTAGGATTCTGTAAGTAATTAATAGTTTGAGTAATGATTATCATGGCTATATGTAATTGTTTATATAATAAACTTTTGGTTTATTTTTACTGGTACCGTTTGTATATTTGAAAATCTTGACTGTATAGAGCTTTTAAAGGATTGTACTTGGGCCCTCTACTGATCATTCTGAGAATAGGAAAAGCTGCCCTGCAACATTAAAATGCTGGATAACGGGACTGTTGGAATAGGGAAGATAAATGTAAGTGGAGAATCAAACTAAAGTTTGTTCTGTTTAGACAGGGCCACGCCCCCTCGTTGTTTTAGAAAATCTAAAAAAAAAAACCCAAGCCCAAAATCGTAGTTGCATTAAAAACAAGTTGACCTATTTTGAGGTGATGTAAAATAAAATCCATTAAAAGATCAAATTGGAAAAAAGGCCCTATCCCAATGCCTTTTTTATTTTGCCTTATGTTTTAAAACTACCTGTTTAAAACGTAGTGCATTCTGTATTCAGGCTTGAGGCATAACAAAGTTTAACCTAAGGGCAAGTTCCTGATAGTAACACTTGTCAAATCTTCTCTGAAGTTTTAAGAGTCAGTTGAGGAGGTCTCTCACAGTCAGGTAATCAGGCAATCTGAGGCAAGTGTTGATGTGCTTAATTCTGAGAAGCTGCTTGAAAGTGTCAAGTCTCTGAGCACTGCTTGGCATCACTTTCTCCCCCATCTCTGAGTGTGGGTACGTCAGAGAACATTTTGTGATATTTTTCCAAGTGTTTGATTATAACAGGAGTTATTGAGTCTAGAGCTGTTTATTTGGAATTGATCAGTACCATCATATCTTCTTCTATACCAGTGGTTTCTGTGTATTGTCATTTTAGTTCGGTGGGGTTACTGCACCACACTTGTGTGCTTGCAGCTTTTTAAGCCTAGTCAATAAATCATGTCAGCTTTTCATTACCTAAAGTGTATTTACAGTGCTTGGAAAATCTGAAGTGTCAGGCAATACCCCACCAGAACTTCCTGAGGTGAGCCAGGACAGGAACACTGAGAGCACTCTGATGAGAAATTATATGTATCAAAGTGAAACTGGAGGGGTGTGGGGGTGGTTTAGGAGGAAAATGTATCAGGATGTGCTTTATGCTTCTGAAGTCCATGCTACTGGTATTGTCATTACCAATACTTTCAAAAGAAAAAAAAAATATTTTTTAGCAGCCCCCTTGTAATTTTGTATCTGCATGAGTGCGACCTTTACAGATCCATCAACCTCCGTCCAGAGTTCTGGTCCTCAGAGCCTCCTCCTAACTGCATCCTGCCTAAACCTTATTGTTCCTCTAAAACAAGGTGATGTCATCTAAACTAGGTTTGGGAGCAGTCCCTGGTGCATGTTGTCCCCAAAACTGTGTTACCCCAAACTCCAGGAAAGTAATTTTTGGCCTGATCCACGAACAGAGTGGTGAGAGTTAGACAAATAGGCAAGTGAGAGAGCCTTGGTCAGAGGTTTGACACTTAGCCAGGTGTGTGCCTTTGCTACTGCAGGTGTAGCTATGGAATCATTCTTTGGTGTTTTCCAGATTCCTATTGCTCCTTTCCACGAGGTCGTGGACTGATTGTTGCAAACCAAATTTGGCAGCCCTTGTCAGATCCATCTCATAGCAGAGCAGGGATAAAGGTGAACGACCATAACATTCAACAGCAGAGAAATTCTTAAAAAAAAGCATCACTGACTTATGAATAGCAGAGCCCTGCTGTGCCTTGGTGCTCCCAGAGAAGGGAATGCAGCGTGTCTGTCAAAGTGAGAGCACGTGGAAAATGGGCAGACAGGAAGAAAGTAGAAATGTGTGTGTGATAATTAGGGCTGCATCACTCCATGCATTGAAGGCACTTGAACACCAGTGCACTGCAGAGCTGGGGGGACACACAAAATCCCCAGGGGAAAGGGGTTTTTTATGTGTTTTTCTTGGTCAGGAAACCAGTGAAAGTGAATTTTGCAAAGTCTTTGTGCATTATTGCTGAGTGTATCCATAACAGCAGAACTTGTAATTTTGAGTTCACTGCTCTTTAGCTCTTTTCCTTTTTCACTTCTTCTTCTTTTCTTTTCTTTTCTTGTTTTTCCCTTAATTTTATTTCTTTAGATCTAACTGGCTAAAACCGTGCTGTGGGAGACGAGCAGCTGTGTGGCAGGTATTTTTGCTCAGTGCAAGTCTCAACAGTTTCCTGGTAGCCTGTGTAGTATTGGTGGTGATTCTTCTGACTCTGGAACTCCTAATAGATATAAAGCTTCTCCAGTGTGAGTAGGAGGATTTTTTTTTCTTTTTCTTTTTTTTTTTCTCTTTCTTTTTTTTTTTAATTTTGATAAAATGAAGGCTTAACTTGCTGGGAGGTTTTTGAAGGGGGGAGGATGGTGGGGATTTTTTTTCCTACCATTTAAATTATTACTAGATTAGGTAAGAAATGTGTTTTTGTGGAACCCTGGTACAGTGAAGTCAGTCTCTTCCTTATTTTGCTGACCAAATTCAGGTCAACTAACAAATTCAGTATAGGACAAATTTTCAAAGGCTACGAGCAGAGTGTACATGCAGAGGTTCACATGTGCTGTCATTAGTACTTGAAAAGGTCTGTCTTTTACAGACATGCTACATATGCACAGAAAAAAACCCTGTGCCTCATTAATCTCTGGTGCTTATCACATGTGGGTAGACAGAAGTGATGAACATACCAGGCATTTTGGTGCTACTTCTATTATTAATTTACTTCTGCTGAGGTGGATAGGAATTGAAATTACAGTTTTCTAGCTTGTAATGCACTGAAATGATACAGATTTTCATTCTACTTTGCTGATGCACTGAGTCAAATAATAGCTTAAATGGAGTTTCGCTTTATCTGAATTCACTCTGCGCAGGTTCCACAGTGGAAATTTAAATGCTTCTGTTTTGCTTCCTAATTCATCTTCTTTTTTCCCCTTCTGCTCTTTTCCTCCATTCCACCCCTTTTTTCTTCTTTTTTTTTCCCCTTTTTTCTTTTATGATACAAAGTTGACATGAACACAAATATCAGCTACACTTTTGCCTCTGCTAAGTGTTGAGGAGCAGCCTCTCCCATCTCCATACAATCTCAAATGTGCTGAAATGGCAGGTGGGGTTCAGACAACCCCTTAAATGCAAGAACACGTAGCACAAAAGAGTCATGGCCTGGTATCTTCTTCCGTGGCAACTTCAAACTGAACAAACCAAATTTTTATTCTGTCGAAGTCCTTTTACTGTTGTGATTTGTCAACCAATTATAGTGGAGCAAAGACTTAGGTATTGCAATTGTATTAAGATTATTTTAGGGGACTTTGTTGATAATTGCAGCCATTTCATACACTCTGTGAGATGAATAAATGGCTGAGCTGTCACCCCACACTGTTGCTCACCATTTCCACCTGTCTGTCCGTGCTGCACTCGCTGTTCTGACATGGCCACTCCGTTCCAGTTGTTATTTTCCGTAGTCTCTGGTCACTTCCCATTTTGGATGAGGAAGCCCAGCATTTGGACAAGTCTGCTGCTTTCAAAAAAGTCAGGAATGCTAATTATGGGTGTAAGTCCTTAAGAAATGAATGAGGAAGAGGCTTTCAACAATATTTATTGAGAGATCACATCTTTCTGTTGATGTAGGAATTGTCACTCCCTGTAGAGCCAGAGAGTTTAAAAATTGTTTTTGTTCATTTCTCATAGAGTTTTGACAGTTTTGGACACTCTCCTCTGGAAGCACCTGTTTTCTTACCGTTTATTTTCTGAAGCATTTTCTGAAGAAGGCTTTATTTTAGGACTCATTCCTCCTCTGTGTGTCTGGTGCATGTGACACTCTTAAAAGCTCTGCAGCTTACACCGTGTGCATGAGCTGTAGGTGTTTGGCTGGGCCAGGTGACTTCCTTGTTCAGAGGTGGCCCCTGCCTGTGTGGATTTTCTCAGCACCTGAGGAAGGACCCATTCCACTTGTGCTGCTACTTTACATTTTAACTAATGAATCTTCCCATCAGGCCTTTTGTCTTTGCCTTGTTTCAATACCTTCTATCTTGTTTTAAATCAGGTAAAGGCTGTCTTGGTGGGGCTGATATTATAAGTATTGCAGTTGTACCATATGTGTCGCTTACATTAAGGTTTTGAAAAGCCATTAGCCCATAATTATGTTTTTCAAAAATGTAATTACAGTTTTAAAGGATTCCTTGTTCTATTTAGGGTATGTCACAGCACATCACTGCCTGTTTTGTTTGTAATGACAACTGCTAATCCACATTATAGACTGTAATTCCTTAGGAAGCCTCCCTTTATTAAAAAAAAAAAATGCAACAAAAGAAACCCTGGTGTTTTCTTTAGCTGTGACATTTTTAGAGCATCATTTTCCTCCATGGTTTCAGTGCAATCTTTGGTTGCACAGTGCACAGAGCTGCCAGTTGCAGAGATGGACACCACATTTGCAAACTGTGGGTCACACACATGAAAAGTACAGAGACCTTATAGGGTATTTTATCACAAAGCATATTCATACCAGAATTAGAAACCTCAGAAAGCAGGGGACACATAATAGGACTTATTTATTATAAGTCCCTGTCCTACAATCTGCTTTTTAAGTTCTGTCTTCAAAGCTGCTCACAAGCATTAACAAAATAACATCTCAACAGCTCGTGATGTTCTGCAAGTGCAGAAATAGATGTATATTAACTCACTTGCACCTCATTTAAAAAAAAAAGAGGACTGTGGCAGTTTCCAACCCTACCACCTCAGAAGGGGAAAGCAGCTCAGGAAATGATCTTCTATTGCCCTCCTCCTGCAATGAGCTGCAGCAGGTGGATCTGTAACAGGCATCAGGCCTCCCTGAAGGCCCTGAAACTGAGAAGCTGCACTCCTGTCAGTTTGGCTGCTGGATCTGGGCCCTGGCTGAGTGCATGCAGAGCTGCCAAAGGAAACACAGGGGCTGGTGCAGCAGTGCCTCAGAAAGAGGGGCTTCAGGGCTCCCCACTCCCTGCAGTGGGTGTCTGCCAGGAAACCACCCTCAGGAACAGCCACTGAAAGCAGGTGCTGGTAGTACAAGCTTGTGTGATGGTCACTTAGGGTTTGTCAGGGTGTATCCTTCATCCCTCACCTCTGGATATACGTTTTGAGATGCGAAAGTGAGGGAAAGGGGGAGGAGGTGAACTGAGTTTGGCTGTACTCTGCATTTTATATTGATTTATTCTTTATCCTTCTTCATGACTATAAAGTGCCTGGATTTGCATTCACTTCTTCCCGATAGCACCAGACAAGAAAAATGTGAAGCAAAGCAAAACTTTTTGGCTTTTAGCTTTTAGGGGGAAAAAAAAGATAGAAGTTCAGCAAATGTGAAACTGTGTTCCAGATTAAAGTAAAAGCTGAATAGCATAGATGATTTGCCTCAAACTGAATCCCAGTGATGTACCCAAACCACCACAGGGCAGGAATGAGCACCTCTTGTAGAAGCCCCTTCTGGTTTTGTAGCTTTTCACAGCATTTTTTAAAGGGAGTGTTTTGGAAGAGGCAAATATCCAGATTCCGTGTATGGGCTGCTGATTCAATTCCTGTACAAAAGCTGCTTGTTTGGAAGGCTTTTTCAGGTTTACTGTTTTACTGGCAATTTAATTGCCCCCTGTCTGGCAGGGTGTTCAGCACAGTTAGTGCTCAGTGTGGCATCAGAAATGGGTTTTCTCCCCAAATTCTGGTTGCTGTATCTTTTTTTTTCCACCGGGGGGCAGCTGGAGCCTTGTAGGTCAATCGACACTGCTGGAAAAACAGCATCCAAACGGTTTCCACTGCCTTGGGAAAGTTAAATATATTATATTTTGCCCATTTGTTTCATCAAGTAGTTCCTGTGCTGCACCACAGCAAACATTCTCTCGTCGAGCCCCAGAAGAGCCTCAGCAGTGAGAGTTCCAGTGGCAGCCCATACTCACAGTTTTATTTGTATCCTGATTTCCTCCTACATCCCTCTCCCCTGCTTCCCATTTTAATCGATTTTGATTTAAAAATAAAATGCTTTATTTAGCGTGTCCCCTGTGTGTTCTTGGGACACAACCCACAGCCTTGCACCTCTGTGCACACAGCCATCGCCTGCCTTACCCTCGGCTGTCACACAGGCATTCTTTGGCACTGCAAACCACACAGGCTGGGTTGGTCTGTCTGCTGTGGAGATGGCAGACTCACAAATACCCTGAAGTAAGGAGAGGATGTTTTCTCTTCATTCCCTTATTCCAGACTTGGGAGTAGGAGTTGCCAGCAGTTCAGATACGGGACCCTGTCAGCATGAAATGTATTTGGAGCCCATTCTGAGCACTAGTTTTTAAGCACCTGTTCCAGACAAATACTGATCATCTGAGCTGAATTGTCAAAGACTGAATACAAGGAGTAATGTGGCAATAGTGGAGCATTCTGTTTCCTTACTGAATCCTAACTCTGGATTTTTAGGTGTACGGGATTTAGTCACACATCCCGAGCTAAAGCAGCGCGTGGGGTGAGAGCATGGACAGGTGACAGAGCAGCCAAGGCCTGAGTGTGTCCTTGCTTACCAGCAGAGTTACCTGTAAATGCTCCAGTGAAGAGCTGCCTGAATTAGGATGAGCAGCTGGCAGGGCTGGAGTTCCATGTCCCATTGCATCCCATCCTCCTTCTGGTACTTCCATTACAAAATTTAAGAAAGCAAACTTTACCATGTGTAAGTTGTGGAAGTTCTAATTATATTAAACCTGAGTTGCACTTTGCTACTATAATGACCCTTCATTGTATTGTGTTAATTGCAGTTTCAAGTGCTTCACAGTTTGCAGGAGTAATTCACTGGATCAGCCTAGTCATCCTCTCTGTTTTCTTTTCAGAGGTATGTATAACCAAAGTCTTTCACCACATACAGAACTTCAAAGTATTTTTATGTTGTCAGTGGAATTAGCAAGAGTTTTAACAGTAATTTGACTGTAAATAAATGTAGCACGGTGTGTTTTAAGAAAAAAAAAACAAAAATAATGTACTGTTGTGTTCCTATGCAACAAACTAAAAAATGCAATATAGATTAGCACTGTTTGTCATTTGCCTGGAATTGGTAAGGAAATGTGGAAGATACTGTCTTATGAATTATAATTGGAAAGCTGCAAAAGTTATCTCAGAATCACTAGAGGCACTGGACAGGACTAGTTTCATCCATTTGTTATCAGTGTCACTGGGTATAAGGCATAGGATTAAGACACGTTCTTTGAGAATAAAGAACCACAGGAATTTTTCTACAAAAAGTTCTGTTTTGAGAGTGGCATTATCCCCTCTCACAATTTATCTAGGTAGTTTAGGTGTTCCAGGTTGCTGCATATAGACCCAGTAAGAGAATGAAACAAATGGTGAATTTCTGGGCCAAATAGTGTATAGATGTATGTGTTGTATGATGTAACAAATGACCAAACTGGGATGATCTGTTAGAGTTTTCAACTTTATTCCAAAAGGAAGTCATTGGTATTGAGACTTTTAGACTGCTCCTGAAATACTCCAAAATGCTTTTATGGCTATTTTTCAGGTCATAATATGTTACTTGTTACAAAAACAAGTTTTATGTTTTTTAAGTTGGAAGACAGCTTGGACTTAAATATTTTAAAATATTTTTTCTAGTTCCATATTAGAAAATATTATCATCCAGACAGATGTGAAAGTCTTTACTAAATGGTAAATTTAGATGAAGGTTACAAAAAAAAAAAAATCAGAACCCAAAAATCTGTGATATCTGCAAATGATTTGTTGGATCACTTGTGTTGAATTCATGCATTGCTTATTTCCATGGTGCTCTTAATGAAATACATTTATTTACATATATCCTTGTATTTCTACCCAAGGTTTTTTTTTTAGCTGGTGTTGTCAGTGGGTGCTTTCTGAAAGGATTGTTTGATAGCAGGCAGGGGTCTCTGGCTGCTCTTCATCTGAGCCTTCTGGTGCTGCAGTTACCCAAATAGGTGCCATTACTGTCCCCACCCTCTGATGGTGATTGTGGGTTGTAGGTTCCATGTAAACTGTCTGAAAAGAATCTCAACAGTTAAATTTTTCTGCAGTCTTTCCTTTGTGAGTTACACATCCTAGTTCCCAAAGACTCTGGTTTATTAGATGGTGTCCATTCCCTGCAAAGAAATACTCTCTCCCCCAGCATTAGCACCCTGGAGCTCCCTGTAATCCTGAGCTTCCCAGCAGGACCAGCTTGTAACTGCTGCTAGAGCGGGGCTGCACAACCACACTCACCTGCTTTGCTTTGCTTTCTGGAGCTTGTTTCACCAAAAGCTTCTCCTGTGATCCTCAGTTCCCTTGCTCTGTAGTCTCAGGTTCTGTTTTCATTCCCTTACACCACCAGCCACTCTGCTCACACCTTGATGCAGTGCCCTGCTCCCGGATCCCTTCCAGAGTTCAGCTGTTGTTTGCCTGTTTGTGGCAGTGTAGGCAGATCCTCAAGGCCTGTACTCATCTGTCTCAAGGAAGGATTAGTTGTTTCAGTTCTGCTGAGACAGAGTGCCCTTATAAGTGGATGAACTGGTTCCGAAGTATTTTACGGGAAAACAGTAACAGAAATACTTGACTGAGCCAAAACAGGTTCCCTGACTCACCATCCTCATTTTGGAGCTGTGTTGGCTTTTCTCCTCTCTCTGTTAGGTATTTGGAACTGCTTTGTTTACTTGCTGTTCTCATTTATTATAAACCTCTTATCACTCAGTTTATTATCTGTTTCTGTCTTCCAAAGTATCTTCTTTCACCTATTTGATTATGGTTTGAATTTAGAGCAAAGAAAAAGGAGGCCACAAGGCAACCATTGAGGTGAACAGAGGAGGGTAGATTTTTGGAGCTGGGTTCAGTTTGTGGCTCAGAGTCCTGGGTTAAAACAACAGAGGTGGCTCCACAGAGCAACTGGATGTGCTTCAGAGACCACCAATCTGGAAGGTAGCTCAGATGTACCTTTCCTACTGGGTTTGCTGGGGTTGGCCTTGTGCCTTGATTTAATAAGCAATACCACATCTGTTCATGTTGAATTGTGTCTCAGGAGAGGGAAAACAGATTTAATTTTCTGTCATCCAAATAAAAAACTTTTTTTTTTTTTTCTGAGAGGTTACAAAATAACTGCAAAAAATGCAAGTCACTTTTTTTTCCCAATCCACCTTAATTTTATTTACTTCTTTGGTCCCTTCAGTGGATTTTTTTCCTCTCTGATTCCTCTAACAAAGTCATCTGTCTTTGGGATCATTTGTTGAGAAGATCATGTGTTACAGTGAGAATTTGACTGTTCGTGCCAGGATGATTTTCCAGAGATGAGCAGGTTTAATTAGTTTGCCTGGACATAATAGGCAACTGCTGGGGATTGATTAGTCCTTCAGACAGTGCTTTTTTTTTCCTAAGCAAGGATTCAGGGTTTCTGGTGTTCAGAAAAGGTTTCCATAGCAAGTACCATGTCCCAAGTTTGGATGTTTATTGTTTATTCTGTGCTTTGGTTCCCATTAGTTGTACATGTGGGTACACAATTCTTCAGAGAACAAACAATACAAAGTTGTAAAAGACTTGTTAAAAACCAGAAAACTTTCAGCACAAAATCTGAATGTTTTGGAAGAATACAACTGATTGAAGGAGGTGCTCTCACAGCATTGCAAGTAATTGCATTCCAATCGTGTTGGAGTTAAACAGGCACTGCCTTTCTGCTTGGTTAAAATGAAGGGCACAAACATGCCAGCAGCTGGCAAATGCCACCAGAACAGCTGCCAAAAAAATTGAGTAGCTACTTTCACAGCATCTTCCTGCTCTCCCTATGCTTGTGTTATAGCCACAAGCCTTAAAGGCACTCAGTTAATTTTATATTCCCTGTCACTGTCTGTGACTTTCCAGCATTAAAATATCCTTATTCAAGTGAAGTGCACATCAGCTCTGTTTGCTTTTTTCCGAGTATTTGAACAGGATTTACTAGTGGTGATGATTGTGTGTGTTTGTCTCTGTTTACATACATCACTATGATTTGTCTGTGCACGAAATGTTACCCAGATGTTAAGACAGAAGAGAAGAGAAAGACACTGGGGGGGAAATCCCAGTATCAACAGCAAGGCAAGGCCGGGGTTACACCCTATCAAGAGGGCAAATTCAGCCTTGGTAATAATTGGCTGAGAAAAGGAAGATGGGGAATGTCACAGTGTTTTGGTAAGTGGATTGGAGTCTGCTTGTGTTTTAATAGTCTTATCCCATTGCCACAAATACGTGATTCTGTAGCTGTTGTTCAGTTCTGCTTCTCCACTCGGATCGATGAGACTGTTTGCGTGCAAGAATTGAGTTCCTTGGTATTAGTTGTTTGCATTGCTCTGTGTGTGCTTCAGTCAGCCAAGCACTCAGGCATTCTGCTTGCTTTCAGCACTTGAGTGTTTCCCTGGCAGTAACCAAGCCTTGATGTGCTGAAAGTTAGGCCAGCACAGAATCACGGCTTTTGTCCTGCATCCGTGTCCAAGAAACGAGCTCTCAAATGGAGTAAAGTCTGGGATCCGAGCTCATAAACAATCTGTTTCATTAGCTGTGGCTCACAGGTGCATTTTAGATTTTTTGCTTTTAGGAGGAAAAAACTCCAAGGCTTTCCTCATCCTGTATGATGAAAGGAAGTGTTCATAGTATCCTAGCACTTTGCTGCTTGTTAACACCAACCCTTGAAAGGAGTAAAGCTTCTGAAGGAAAGCTCTGCTGTGAGGGTTCTGTTAAAAAGGAAGAACATTCCAAATGACAGAACTAAGTAAATAATGTCTTTCCCATAACAAATTCATTATTTTATGTTAGAGAAAACAGTTATGTTACTTTTGTTACATTTTTTGTGAGATTGAAAGAGCTGAGCAGAAAGATAATAATGTTCTGTTACTTCTATAATTCTTCTAGAATCTGTGGCTTCTCTTCTGGATATTTATTTTTATTCCATGTCCACAACTTTTCTCATGGTGCATAAATGCACCGCACTGCTGGTTGTGTGTGTTTTGGTTTTTAAATGGGTTGATTAGTGGGGGCTAGGAACAAAGATAGGGATTTTATGTATTAATATAATTTATAAAGGTAAATTTAAGCTTCCTTCTTTGCTAGTGTGTTAAAAAAAATATTTAATATACTGGGAAATTTCTTTCCTAACCACTTTTCTTGCTTCTCAAACAAATAATTACCAGGGAAAGTGGTTCTATAGAGTTCCAGGAATCTAGCTAGACATCTGCCTGAAACACTAGTCTGCCCATTTCATTTTCAAGGGTGTACCTGACTTAGGGTGTGCTCTATCAGTGCTTCATCTGTGCTTTCATCTCTTGACAGTGGCCTTGCAGCACCTCCTACACCTGTGTTTCAGAGATAAGCATCAGTGCTGGTGTGACTGTGCCCAGAGGGAACTTGTGTTGCAAGGCCAGTTCTCTGCCCAGCCTCCATCTGTGGTAGTATTGTTGAGTCTCTGGGAAGCCATTTTTATTCCTGAAAATACATCTGTACAGAATTGTCAGTTGAAAACTCCCTGTTTTTCTTCATATTTGAAGAACGAATATTATGGGAGAACAAAAGAACAAATAGAACTGCAGTGTTTGTGCAAAGGTGCATTTGGATACTACATGATATCCTGGTGGTTTAATGAGAGAATAAACTGGGTTTGTGTCTGTTAGTGCCACCAAGCCTTGGCACTTAATTCCTTCTGTGTGACCACGTGTGCTGATAGAGCCCAGCAGCTACAGAGCACAGGCACAGGGAATGGTTTGTGCTGGGTGCTGGTGAGGTGAGGTCAGCAGGTCCACATTTCATTTCAGAGCCCTGATGGAAGAGAAGCCGTGTGAGGAGGGTGCCTGTGCCCTGCAAACACAAGGACTGTGTTGGTTTAAATGTGCCAGCACGTTCCCCTGGGCTCTGCTGGCCTGGGGGCAGCGTGTGCTGGGACAGCTAATGCTGTGGCTCAGGACAGGCACACCAGAAGATGGCAAAAGAAGATTCTTTTAATGACTGGGTGAGCTAAGGCCTCTGTGGAGTGACCCAAATAAGGGGGAGTTGTAAATTACAGATTGGGTACACCGTGTTCTGGAAAAGCTTTCAATAAATATTTGGTCTTATGAGATATATCCAAAAGCAGAAGCTTAATCTGCAGAGTTTCTGGAACCTCTGTAGCAGATAGATTAGTTTTGTGGCAGTGGAAGGAACATCCTTTCCACCTGTCTCCATCCCGTCTCTCTCTTGTACAATCACTACCCCATCTCAAAATGCAGAGTTGCTCTCCTTTGCCAAACCCTGCTGGACCAGCTTCTCCTCCTGTGCTGCCACCGTGTGATTTCTGATTTCTTCACTCTACAGGTGAATCTGACACAGTGACTCACTGAGCAGTAAGTTGTATATTAACTGTGCAAGCAGAAAAGTACTTAAAATTACCTAATGTACCATGCAGTCAGCTGAGAAATGTAGCTAACTCGTGCAGATTGTGGGAATTCACACGGCTGGCTCAGCAAAGCACTTGGCCAAGTTTCCCTACAAAATTAGAGAGAAAACCTGTGTCACACAGTCCATGGCAACTCCACTGCAGACAGTTAATGTCATGCAAATGACTGTGTGTCACCAAGAGACACTGTCAATTCTGAAATTGCATTTCTGTCTGAAAAATGGTTTAAAATTTTACCCGGATTTACTCCAACTTAAATAAATAAATAGAACTGTTCAATCATTTACCTTTTATTAGTGCACTGGACAGACTTTTACGTAATAATTTAGCTTTTAGCAGAAACCAAACAATGCATTTCTGATTCAACTAAAAAATGTGTGTGTTAAGGACTTTCTAATTAAAAGATTTCCAGTCCAAAAATGTTAAAGCCTTCTTTTTCAAGGACAAAAAAACAAGCTGGCAGTGGCCTTTAACAGAAAAGTGCTCACATTGATACTTAATGGCTTTTTTTCCAATCTGTGTGTTCAAAAATGCAGAATGCCTGTAGTGCAATGCAAAACTATGTGTGTGCATTTGCTACAGTGCTGAAAAATGCCTGCACATCAGTAGGAAACAGCAGCGCTGCTTCATTTTTTCCCTATTTCTTGTAGATTCTTGTGCCTACAAATGGTAGAGTCGTAAGTAACATTTGTTTTGTCTGTGATGGATGTTACACTTGCAATTCTCTTTTAATTCATATGCTTTTTTCAGTTTGGTCCTTGTACAGTGCGTAGGAAGTTTCCTGGATTATTAATTTCTGTCTCTGTTTTTTTCAGATTCTGCTACAGGTTCTCATTTTTTTAAGTTCTGTACAGAGACAGTATACAAGCAAATGCACTATATTTATTTGTTTGAAACATATTTTTGATTGCTTTTGGAAAAACACGAAAATGTTGTATATAAGTAGTACCAATGTTTTCGTTGCAGTCGAAGTCATTTAGCAGCTTGTGCACAGAGAGGCAGCGTGGGGACAGCCAGGGCTGGTTTGGAGCTGTGCTGGTGCAGGGTGGGCAGGGACAGCCACCCTGGGGCACCTGTGGGACTCACTCGTGGGGCTTTCTCAGGGAACCAAGGACAGGCTGCCTCTCGTGGCTTTTGTCACTTCACTGGTGATGGGAGGGCTTTTAAGAGTGGCTTTGAGACCTCCCATACAGAACAAGTGTTTTCTCAGCTCCCCCCCAAGTTGTGCCCAGCTTGTTCTGCAGAGTCTCTCTGGGATGGGGAGCTGGGCTCGTTCCACCCTTACACTCACCTTCCTGCAGTGTGTCTGCTCTAGGTGAGAGCCAAGGTGCTAATCAGCAAGGCATGTGTTGGGAGGAGGAGACCTCTCTTCCAGAGGTAGCACCAACAACCAATCCTTCATTAAATGACTGCCAAGTAGACTTCCAGTCACTGCTGACGTGTGCTGACTCACAGCAGCAGACTGCAAATGACAATATTTGTGCCAGCTGCCAGCCCTTGGAGCTGCTCAGACCCGGTGATGCGACAGTGGCACAGTCTGATTTAAACACTGCAGTGAGGAACTAAAAAGGCAGAAAGGCAAATCCGATTTTATGTTCCCTCAACAGTCCCATGTTAAATCATATTTAGGGTTGTGAGATGGTGTTTCTGTTTCCTTAAGCCTTATTTCAGTGAAAATCCCTTTGTGCACACCTGTCCAAAGGAAGAAAGATTTTCACCCTCAGTTTCTTTGAAGGTGTTAAGTGTCCAGCCATCCTGTAGTTAGTTGCTCACCGACCTAGCACTTCATAAACCCTGCCTAAGCCTGGCAGAGAATGAGCCAGATCTCCCTGTGCCCTCAGCAGTGTGGCTGTAGGAAGGGTGGCATCCCAAGCTTTATAAAAGGCTCTGCTTTTCCTCCTGTGTCTCCCCAGGGCTGCCTTGCTGTGGTGTATCCCTGATTAACTAATACAGCTGAACTTACAGGTTCATGGCTAACTTGGACTTGAGTATTTTGTGCAGCTTCTCAGTGGGGAGTGAGGGAGGTGCTGACAGAGGAGCAGGGATGCTTTGTCTGGCAGTGTTCAGACTCGAGTTTGGGGCCGCAGGAGTGCCTTGGCTGGTCAGCAGCACGTGCACTTAAACCTACATGCCATCACATCATGCTGGCCAGTTTGGGGTCATTAAGGGATTTGAGCAGCTGCTGTTGTGCATCTCTCCCTCCACAAAGCAAATAAACCTCGAGAGCAGACGTTAACATGGAAAGGGATGTCAGCCTTATTCCTATGCTGCGTTTGTAAAATGCTTTGGAAGTAAAATGTTGGTTTTAGGAGGAGCAAGCATTGGCAGTTCTTGCTGTCTACGTAGAGTCTCATAATTTTTTGTAGAGAAAAGAGAGAGCTGCATTTTTTCTTCTGGCTGGTGACCCTCTTTCTCAGCCAGACTTGGCCAGTGCTTTTGCATACACCATTTCTGACTAAGTGTTGCCTGGTTCATTTTCTTGCTCGCTGATGGTAGGAGGCTGGGCTCTGGAAGCACCATATTCCCCACAGCAATGTCTCCCTCTGCAAAACAGAATTAAGTGCTGTTACACAGGTTTGGAGTGCCAAGAGAGAACTCAGCACAGTCATCCCAGGCCAAATGAGGCAATTGGACTCATGGGGTTTGGCAAAACCATGCATTGGAACATCACTGAGAAATTCAGTGTTGTTCTGCAATTAGTTAGTGCTGGTATGTTTGGCATAAATTCAGTTGCTTGGGATTTGTATTTGTAATGAAGAGGAGTCACTTTTTTCTGCACAGTTCTTGGCATGGTTACCCCTCAAACATAGGCCTGCTGAGCCCTCAGTCCTTATGCTGTTCTTTAAGGGAGAAGGTAACATTTTGGTGATCTTTGCAAGGCTCACATCTGCAGGTGGACTCATCATGTCTGTCATGTCTATCAAAATCTGACCTCTGTGTTGCTGTTGGCAGAAAACATCCCTACCAGTTATGCTTTTATGTGAGTTCCATTTCAATCATGAGTTGACTGATTTTTTCGTTTATTGTGTCTTCTGAAAGCCAGGTTAAAAATAAGGAAAGGTGCCATTGGATTTTTTTTAATGGGAATTCACCATTGGTTCATTCTGTGTTCTTTCTTTATTCCTCTTTTCTGGCTATTGAGGCTACTTATAGCTGTTCTGCTTCATAGAGGAGGATCACAGAGATATTTTTCTCCCTTACCCTGTGACTTTCTGGGATCTTATAATAAGACAACTGTCCTGTACTCCAGATAAGGACATCTGCTCTTCAGATGGATGACATGTTAGTATTTTAAGGCATCAGGAGAGGACAGTGTCTCTTCTCTTAGAAAATAAGTAGTCACTGGTGTATCAAAGATGGCCAGAAAAGAGAATCTTCCCCCATTCTAACTGAGGAGGCCCCACAGTTGATCTTACGTAGGCTTGGGTCAGGGGGGCAGTGTGGGGAGGGCTGGTAATCGAAATCACACAGATCTGAAAGCAGATTTTTAGGAGGATGGGAAAGACTGATGAACATTTCAACTTGGAGCTTGTTCATGGAGGTTTCACTGAGTCAATATAGTGGTTGGAAAACAATGCCTGCTTGTATAATACAGAAGTGGAGCTATTTCTAGGGCCTCATTATTATTTATAAGAAATGCATAATGCTTAAATAAGACAAAAAATGATTCCCTGAATGAATAAAGGGCTTAAATGTTTATCTAAAATTACAATAACATTCATCATCTTTTTTCCCCCTAATCTGTTTTACTAGACTGTTTTGAGGATTGTGGTCCTTGGCATATGGGATTACATTGAAAACAAAATAGAGGTAAGAACTCTGACTCTTGGTGCTGTTTTCCAGGCAGACCCAGTAAGACTATGAAGAACTGCTTTGGGTGGCTTTGTTGTTAACCTGATGTAATACAATATCTTTTAGGCAGATAAATACACACATTCATCTTATATGCAAGTATCCCTAGTTTGTGTGATGGAGTCCCTTTTTCTGTGAGAGACTCAGGAGAGTGCAATATTTGAAAATATTTTATGAAGGGAGGGATTGTGGCATTCTTGCTCTTTGTGTGTATTTATTTTGTTCTTGAGCTGTGCTAATCTGGTGATACTGCTACCCTGGGATAATGAGCAATAGGAATAAAAATTGTCACGTGAGTTGTGTATCCCTGTTCCCGTGATCAGTGAAATTAGAACTGGTTGAAAAATTGTATGTGGTTTTCTGATAGAAAGTACTGGTTTGGCAAACCCCCTATTTTTATTGTGAAATTTCTTTTAATTAAATTGAATTATGATAAACACTGTAATTTGTACCTCAAATTAAAAATTAGGTAGAATGTGCATAGACAGATAAGGAAATGCATGTGTTATAAGTAACACATAATCTTGAGCACAAATCTGGAGATCAGGAGAATTAAAACCTCCTTCTTGATACTGTCTGATAAAATAATACTGTACAGGATGTACAGAAGAAAATCTGGGTGTTCTTGGAGCTTAAGCAAGTCTAGAGGCTTGCACATTTTTGTAATAAAGTTGTAAACCCTTTAAGTTGTTTTGCTAAAAAACTGAAGTGAAACTTAAATGTTGATTCAGAGACTCTTCTTATTAAGGCTGAATGCAGCAGTTTCTGATAATTCATTTTGATAATTTGGAATAGAGTGATACTGTTTACTGCCCATCAAGTGGCAGCAGTAAGGAGTGTTTCTTTTCAATACACATGAATTGTTATGCACAATTCCAAATACATAATTCTTATAAAAATCTATGTCCTGCCTCCTTATGCAAACCATTAATCAGTGGTCTTTGGCAGCAGGGAAGGGTTCTCAGTAGGAATGAGAACATGGTATTCTCTTCTACCCTGCTAGACCAGTGTGGGACAGACACAACTCTATTGCCAGTTTGCTCTGAAATGTATTTACTAGCTCATTTCTGTCTAATGCTTTGCACAATTGCTTTTTCTGATCTAATCCCAGTGTAACCAATGTCATATAAATCATTCTGAATGGTCCCAGTTGTCAGAATCCTTGAAAACCTCTCTGCCCCATAAAAGTGAGAGCAGGCAGTCTTTCTGTCTAGATGCACATGTGTTGTGTAGTCAGGATGTGGCCAAGAGCCATCAAGTCTCTTTGCTCCATCTTTTTCTACTTGTCTTCTTGATCTCTTCATTTAGACAGTAAGATCTATGGACAGGGACTGCATCCTTTTTTTTTTTTGGATGACATTATGCCAAGTAACAGGTAATAAATACCAATGATGATAAAACTCTTTGGCTGTAATAGCATTTAGGCTACCACTTCTCCTTGGGGATCTTGGCCAGTATTTCCAAATACCTTTCTCTCTCCTTGCCCTGCTAACAACAGTTTATCTCTCCTCACCTCATAAAAAGCACTGAGGAATTCTGTTGTGCTACCTAAACAGGATGCAGCCTGGCTGGGTCTCGGCCACCTCTCATATGCCTTTCAAATACGTGCCATAATTGCATTTCTTTTGGGCAAAGAGGGAGTCCTTCAAGATTCCAAGGAGGAATGGCAGGGATATGATTTTAAGGAAAGGTTTGAAAAAAAGTGATTTCTCTCTAGGTGTTTGATGGTGCTGTCATAATCTTGTCCTTGGCACCAATGGTGGCCTCAACAGTGGCTAATGGCCCCAGCAGCCCGTGGGATGCTATCAGCCTAATTATCACCCTGCGGATATGGAGAGTGAAGAGGATCATTGATGGTGAGTGGTGACTCAGTTTGTGACTCCAAGCATTACCTGGCAGGCTGGGAAAAGAGATTTTAAAAGTACAGAAAGATTGCTTGCCACCACTGTTTCTGTCATTCTCCTTTCTCTTACATTTTGCTAGCACTGAACAGAAGAGAGTTACAATTCCCATGAAGGAGAGTAGGTCCCAAGATCATGGCTGCATCTCCTGCTCCCTGGGAGCCTTTATAATCCAGGGCTTTGTTTTGCTGTTAGGCACCATCCCATCCCCTGTCCTGTAAACCAAATGCCCTGACCTGCTTCATGCCTCTTGCCACCAGATATCATTCCTGATTCTGCAAAATAATTGCTTCCAATCTGCTTTTCTGATATTTACTGCACCCTCCCCATAACCATACAGCCAGCTCCATCTTGAGACTTTCTTTTCCAGGTTCTTGGCAGTAATACAAGTTTCAGGTCAGATTCCAGCAGCATTTTCTTACCATGGGGGTTCCCAGCTGAAGGTGCTCTCTGCAGTGCTGGTGTGCTCTACAGCATGATAATGAAGTGTGTATTGGTGGTGTTTTGCACAGACCTCTGTGGGGAAGCACCAGGGAAGACGATAAAGCCCCAGCAAGTCAAGGTTGCAGAGAGCAGAGTCTGTGGCTGTGCCTGGAAGCAAGGACTTTGGTGCTTTGTGTCAGGGAAAGGAGGTGGAAAGGGAATAAATGAAGGGTCACTTTGCTCATGTGTGAAAGATCAAAGTCAAGTTATTATTTTGGGTTTAAATGCCCAGGAAACTTTGTATTCAGAGTTGAGGACAGGTCATAGCCCTCTGATTGAAGCATACAAGAAAAGTTCAGGATCTTGTGTAACTTCCGAGAACATCAAGGATTGCAGCATGTATTGAACAGTTATTCTGTTCAGTCTGAGTTTGCCATAGTTACGACAGGAGCAAAATTTCTAGAGGCATTCAGAAGACCTATTGAAAACTGGTCTGTAGCTTGCAAAGCAATAGAAGATAAATGCCTTTTTTGTTTTTTAAAAATACCCTTAGTCTGGTGTTTCCATTAAGGATTTATTTCTTACCGCAAAGTCTAGGAATTAAATGCTTAGGGCTCTGGAATAGTTCTTTTCCTGAGGGAGCCATGCTGTTCAGGTTTAGAGGGGATGGGTCTTGACTCTAAAGAGAAAATCCTCCTACCCAGCAATTCAGGAAATCTGTGGTAAACACTGGGAAAGATCTATGTTAGTGCCACAGAAGCTGGGAAGAGCATGCAGCATCTATTTCAGCTCGTCCAGGCAAAGGGAGATCTGACTAAACAAGATCTAGTCCTTGCATTTCCCGTGTTAGAAATCCATCCCTGGAAAAAGTACCCTCATGCTGTTTCTATTAGAAATACTCTAGTTCTCTGGATGCAAGGGAGAAGGGTGATGTTCTTTGGCCTGTAAAGGTTTTCTCTCTGATAAAAAAACCGAATCACAGCTGGATTGCTTTAAGTGTTGTTTGTGTTTTCCAGCGTATGTCCTTCCAGTGAAAGTGGAGATGGAGATGATGATTCAGCAATATGAGAAGGCAAAGGTTATTCAAGATGAGCAGCTGGAAAGACTAACCCAGATCTGCCAAGAACAAGGGGTAAAGTTCAGTTATGTCTTTATTTACGCATAGCTTGTCAAGGCAAATCAAACAGTTCATGTACTGCTGGTTTGAGAAGTACCACTGGGACTTCTGTTGTAGGGTGACAGGTCTCGGTGCTAAGGAGGCATTGGCTGCAGCCAGGATCTTGTCAGCGTGGTGTTTGTCAAACAGCAGTCGGCTGCCTCTGCTGCTGGGCTTGTGTTCTTTAAGGTGAGGGAAACAAATATGAGGAACAGCAAATGAACGGTTCCAGCGTGTAATTTATTGAGTGAGTGCAGCTAGCTTGACATAGTACTGAGAACATGCAAAAGGCACTGCCATTGTTGGAGACTGCAGCTGCATTAAGGCTGTATTCCTAGGAAAATTATATGCAGTTAAAAACTAATGAATCTCCCTGTTTTAAATGCAGAAGGCAGCTTCCCTGTAGGTTAGTCAGAGACTCTTGGCAAGCTCAAAATGTTGCAAGAGAAGCTTCTAGTTCCTGGAAGCGAGTCAAGATTTAAGACTCTTCCCAGGCCCCTAAATGTTCAGTGATTCAGTTATGAGGTAAGGAAAGGTGAAGCTTAAAATATCTCGAAAAAGGTGTAAAACCATTGTTTGGGCAACGAGCCAGGAGTTTTTGCAGTTTGTCTCATGCAAACGAGTTCTTGCGTAACTTGTGTTAAAGTAGGAGCCAGGGATGGATGTTGAGGCTCGGGATAAGCAAGTGTTCAGGTGACCATCAAACCACAACACAGTGAGCCCCCAGGGGATTTACTACTTGTTTCAGTTGTACAGGTAACTATGAGATAGATGTTCAAATAAATCCTGGAGATTTCTAGCTTCAGCTCCCACGCCTGGCTTGTGGTAGGTACCTTTCAAATACAAAATGGGGAGACCTGTAAGTCTGAACAGCTCAGGCAGTCAAAAAGCTGAAGGGCCTGTGCAGACAGGAGAAGCAGCTTGTCCCAGAACAGACCAACTGCCCCAAAAGGGGCATAATCTGAAGCAAAGATTAAGGTGCCCATCTTTTCCAGAGGAACCCTAAAGTTCTTGTCAAACCATCAGTCAGTATTCAGGTCCCTAACTGTCTTTTTAGATTTAGTTTGAGGTCTCCTGGATCTCAGCCTAAGATTCTGCAATGAACTCTTGGTGTGGTGGTGAGTTGCCCTGTCTGTGTGAAAAATTAGGAAGACCTGTTGACAGTGTATCATTTTTGAGTCTCTCACATTAAGCATAACAAATTTCTAAACCTTAGGCTTGACAAAATTGCCAAAAATTAGTTACTTCCAACTGTGTGTCTTCAGTGGCAGAACTGCAGTTCTCTTCTTGACACCTTTGCTCAATGATATTTAGTGATTCAGGGTTCTGTCTAATTGTGAAATTACCAGGTAAATGGTATATACCCCATTTTAAAGGGGAGAGATTATCCTTTGGCCAAACATGTTAAGCAAATCAGTGATTTCTTGAGTCCCAGTGCAGTAATTTGTCCGTCAGACCATACTGAAGTTCTTTACAATCATAAATTTTAAAACATTAATTTTTAGGAACTGTGTTATACAGCCAGACAACACTCTCTAAACAATTTGTGGTGTTATTATTTCATAGTCTTGGAGTAGAGGTGGGCTCATTATCCCAGGTGAGGTTTAGGAGCTGCCCTTGCTGCTCTCCATTCTGAGCCTGGCTTGCCAAATGTCTGAGCAGAGTAGCCCTAATCTGAGCTCTGATGGTTACAGCAACCTGTGCATCAAACACAAAGAAATACTGCACTGGGAGAGGAGTAAATCTGACAAAACAGGGCAGGTTCTCTTGTAGCTTTCAAGTGTCATCAGCTATGGAAAAATATGGTGTGTAGAAAAATGACAGCATGCTAATCCTTCTTTCTGGCCTGACTTGCTGCCAAGCAAATGCCTCAGCTGTATAATATCAGGTAAATGTACTGATTCACTACAGTTAGCAACAGTAGACATTGACACAAGTGCTGCATCCTTTATTTGTGAATTATTAGCTTCATAATTCAGTCAAGAACAAGTTGTCAGCATTATAATATTCACATTAACATTGTGTACAGCATCTGATGGGAGAAATGGCTCCTAATGGTATTTAATGTCTAAAATTCTGCCAGGTTTTTGCTTTTTCATTTGATCATCTTTCCTGGCCTTTTTAAAGGATTGCTTGTTCGTGGAAAAAGCAGGAAAGATGCAACCTCCCCTCATCTTTTTGAATTTCTTTTGTCAGTTGTATATTTTGACCAGTGACAGGGTATCACAACTATAAGTACATTTCCATTCCTGACTGACATTGGAGATGTACTTTTGCAAATGTGAAAACTCTTTCCAGATGTGGATTTTTGGCTGGCCATACATCTGAAAACCAGAATATATTTTATAAATCATAGTTGCACGGGCCACCACTTTGTTCTCTGTAGTACCCCACTGCAACTGTTTGAATAGATTGCCTTTTTATTTATTCTCCATTGGCCAAAAAAGACATCATTAAACAGGAGTGGAGCGTGAGGGCAGTCAAGGCAAAAAATACTGAAAAGCTGTACAGGACATCACAAAATATGAGAAACATTAACAACCACAGTAACAAGAATTGTCTAAAATGGGTAAAGGTAAAAGGAAAAGAAGTCTCAGTGCAGTCACTATCAAAAATTATGCACGGAGTATATGGTTTTGTTTTATCAGAGTAAGATAAATTGCAAAACAAAGTTCTGAAGTTTCATTAACTACAAATCCCAGTCAGGGAAGATTGTTTTTTTCCTCTGGAATCACCTGTAAAGGAATTTCATTTCTGATAATAGATTTACTTACTTGATCTTTTCTGCTTAACTTTCCTGAGAGTAATTCAGCTGAGCGCAGTCCAGCCAAGACTCTGTGTTCAGCCTTATCACAAGAGCTCCTTTTCTGTCGACTCCTATAGAATTGGGTTTTTCATCATTCTTAAAGCTGCAACAACCATGGAAGCTGTAATTTCTTTTTTTATCTTGGAATATAATTTGTACAACAGCTGCTAGTTTAATGACAGGGCTATTTAGCTGGTAAAATTACCTATCGGAGAAATAACTTATGTTATCCTTTTGCAATAATTTTAATTTATTTCTAACTACCAGTCATTTTCTTGGTGGATGGAAGGCAGCCAAGGTCATCCCGTGTTTCATTCTGCCCGTAAATCATTAGTTTGCAACTGTCTCCTGATTTTTATTGTTACCAACAATGGCTAAACTAATGGAAATAAACATTGGATTGTATCCCAGTGGCAGATGAGTTTTAGGGCAGGGCATTCTGTACAGACAGCACTAATAGAATTGAGCAAAGTTATTGCTCCTGCATTAGACACAAGTAAGCTTCTGGCTAAAATGTTCATTGATCTCTCTGAAACTATGTCAATCATACTCTGTTGCTAGACCATTAAAGGGAAGTACTATATGATTCACTGCTAAGTCCCTTTCTGAGTCTTCCATGCATGCTGTGAAATATCAGAGAGGATGGGTGGCACACTTTATAAAACCAGGTATGTAAACTGAGATGTTATCTAGAGCTCTGGGTAGGTCTGTCAATTTACCTGCTTAGAAATAATCACTAATGCATTATTGGGGTGAGGAAGTGCACAGGAGTGCCCATCGTTCTTTCTGGTTTGTTTCCTGACAAAATATTGCCAAATTTGTGCTACAAAATGACATAGAGCAGATTTTGAAAATGGTACGGTAAATGTACCATTGATGAACTTCCTCTTCATGTCTGTCAGTCTGGTTACTCATTCTCCTATGAGACAGTCTGTTTCTCCCTTTTTCTTGGTAATAAGTGTATTTGCACATTAGCCACGTGTATTACACCTTTATTGCTGTCCTCAGCTCCCTCCTGGCAGGGTGTACCCAGGCAGTTCTCAGAGGTGCACGGTGACTGTACACAAGCATGGAATGTGCAAAATTCCTATTAAATATAACAACAAACATTTTCCCTGTGAGAACAGTCAAGCACTGGAGCAGATTGCCAGGGAGGCTGTGCCACATCCATACAGCCTTGGAGATAGTCAAAATTTGAGAGGGTGGGCTTTTAGCAACCTGAGCTAAATGGACTGGCTTTAAGCAGGGTGTTGGACTAGATGACCCTCACGGGTCCATTTCAGCTGTGATTCTATGAAGTCTTCAAATATATTTTTTCCATTGCAAAGTATGTTGGAACTTACTGAGAAATACCCACTGAAGTATATGTAATTAAAGATGATGAATGTCACAGGTGTCCTGATAAATAGAGTCAGTAGCAGCCTCAAGTGGGTCAGTGCTCTGTTTGTAATTATCAGGAGTCAGGAGGTGGTTTACCTCAGTCTCCTTGATCACAACAGAGTATCTTCCACACAACAGCATTTTTTGCTCACTGGCTCTCTGTGAGATTTACAAGGTTCTTACACAGAGCTGGTATCAAAGCATGTATATATGTTTATATGCCTTTTTCCCCTTTTTTTTTGTCCCCTCGTGATATGCATAAAATGTATCCTGCCTTACAGGCTGAGGGAGGGATGGTCTGTCCACCTGAAAAGAGGAACCAGGGTCTCCTCAGTCCAGCTCTCCTGCAGGACTTGGTGTTGGAGGGGCCCAGGTGTACACTCAGAGAGCTACATCAGCTCCTACTGCAAATAGAAATTTCATGTGTTTAACTTGGCCCAGAATTTTTTACTTAAAAAGACTGTTATATTTTATACCTTTTTATGATTGATTTAAGCTGCCCTGGACTGCCTGACATGCAGTCAGAGCAATCTCATTAGCTCTTTTACGCATTAGAACTGCCTGAGGTCAGTGTTCAATCTAATGTTCAATAGATATAAGCACCTCCAACCTAATTTGCTCATTCAGCCTCTCGTTGCATTTCACCCATAAGAAACACCCCCTTAGATTTAACCTTTGTTTGTAGGGGTTTGGTTTTAGTGGCTAAAACTGTATTCCAGCTTCTGCAAGATCTTGAGATAACTGTCAAGAAACAATTAACATAGAACTGATATCCTAAGTAGATCTGTGCCTTTTATGAACAAAAATCTGGTCTTTGTTTAACTTTATTGAATGTCTTTCATTTTATTCAATCAGTCTTTGTGGTAAATAGTGATTTTCTATCCCATAGAGTCCTTTTTTGAACAGGCAAGAGCCGTGTGTTTGTAACAGAGTCAGGGTTCTGCATCTCTGTGCAACATGTTGTATGGAGCACTTTGCAGGAGGAACGGTCAGTGTGGGAGTGAGACACCACCATTGGTACAATGAATACCCTCTTCTCTGTCAATATAAAAAATGACAGTTACACACACAACTATTTAACTCCAGCTTTCCACTGTTTTAATGACCACATAGACTTCAGGGCAAACATGAATGGGATCTGGAAGCTCAGCATCTGAGGTAATGGAAAAGTGGAAGGGAGAGCCTGTGTTAACCAGCTGCAGCTGCGTGGGTTTGTAGGCAACATCAGTCTCTGCTGTTACCTTGGAACATCTGTGTGCTGTTACCTTGCACTTGATGCCAAAGTCCAGAGCATTGGGCTGCTTTATTGTGCCCAGGAATTTGATCCTCCTATCTGCTTTTGACAGTCTCCTGTTCAGTTCTGGATTTGAGACCAGCTGAAAGAGCTCAGTGTTAAAAGCTGAAAAAGAGACAAGCACGTGGGTTGTGTTTGCAGCTCAGGAATGGAGGGATCACAGACCAACTAAAAAGTTGCAAGTGCTGCATGCACCTCTCACCCTCAGCAGTACATGAGCCAAGGCCCAGGTCCTAGTGTCTGTGACAGAGTGTGACATTAGTGCCAAGGTATCCAGCCCAGGTTCCAACGTCTGTGGCAGTGTTACGGTAGTGCCACATTTTCCAGACTGGGTCCCAGTGTCACTGATAGTGTGACATCAGTGCCCAGTCCCAGTGTGACTGACAGGGTGACATTAGTCCCCAGTTTCCAGTGTCACGGACAGTGTGGCATTAGTGCCTGGTCTCAGTATCACTGTCAGGGTGGCACTGGTGCCTGGTCCCAGTGTCTTTGTCAAGGTGATGTCCCTGTCAGGGCGGTGTCCGTGTCAGGGTGTCATCAGTGCCCGGTCCCAGTGTCCCTGTCACTGTGATGTCTCTGTCAGGGTGCTATTGGTGCCCGGTCCTGGTGTCCCTGTCACTGTGTCCCTGTCAGGGTGATGTCCCTGTCAGTGTGGTGTCCCTGTCAGGGTGATGTCCCTGTCAGTGTGGTGTCCCTGTCAGGGCAGTGTCCCTGTCAGGGGGCCATTAGTGCCCAATCCCGGTGTCCCTGTCACTGCGGTGTCCCTGCCAGGATGATGTCCCTTTCACTGTGGTGTCCTATCACTGTGGTGTCCCTGCCGGGGCGGTGTCCCTGTCCCTGTGATGTCCCTGTCACTGTGATGTCCCTGTCCCCGCGGTGTCCCTGGCCCTGCGGTCTCCCTGGCCCTGCGGTGTCCCTGGCCCTGCGGTCTCCCTGGCCCTGCGGTCTCCCTGGCCCTGCGGTGTCCCTGCCGGCTGCCATGGCTCCCTCAGGCCCCGCGGTGTCCCTGCCGGCTGCCATGGCTCCCCCTGTCCCCGCGGTGTCCCTGCCGGCTGCCATGGCTCCCCCTGTCCCCGCGGTGTCCCTGCCGGCTGCCATGGCTCCCCCTGTCCCCGCAGTGTCCCTGCCGGCTGCCATGGCTCCCTCAGGCCCCGCGGTGTCCCTGCCGGCTGCCATGGCTCCCTCAGGCCCCGCGGTGTCCCTGCCGGCTGCCATCCCCGCGGTGTCCCTGCCGGCTGCCATGGCTCCCTCTGTCCCCGCAGTGTCCCTGCCGGCTGCCATGGCTCCCTCAGGCCCTGCGGTCCGTGCCGTTCCCGCCGCCCCCGGCAGGGGGCAGCAGAGCCCGTCCCGCGGCCTCGCGCGGGCCCCTCACGGCGGGAGGTCGAACAGAGCCGCGATCAACAATAAAACCGCTCATAAAAACTGCCTGGGCACCCGGCACGGAGAGTTTAAGGACTGGAAATAACCTGTGGATATTTGGAAATGCTGGCTTTATCCACTGGGACATGGGAGTGGACAGGAGGAGTGTGCTCTCTCCCCCGTTCCTGCTGTAGGCTCCCAGTAGCAGGAAAGATCACTTGAGATGGTTCCCTTTCACATCTCTATAACGCAGTGATGCCCTCCAGCCTTTTGATTGTTACCATCTTCAGCCAATCTTTGTAAATGCTTAAGCTCCTTAAATTGGGTGTGATGCAGAAATAGTTATTTAGCTGACTCCTGGCTGGTTCTATCCATTGGTGTTAAAAAATACCTGCCAATTTTTTTGTGTTCCATGAAAATAGGAAATCGTATCCTGCTTCTAGGCCAGAATTAAGCATTTTAGTAGCAGTATTTCTTTTTCTGACACACAGGAATGTTTTTGAAGGATGAAGCATGAAATGTAGAAAAACAGAAATTATCCCTAATTCTTACTGCCTTTTGGTTTGAGCTAGGCAGCATAAAGAAAAAATCTCCAGATGTGTTTTTTGCTTCTCATGTTTAAATGCATTATTTCCATTAAACCAAAGGAGTGTCTGAAGGGGTATCTTTTTCCCTTCAGAGGTGGAATGTAAGCTCTTTTGTCATTCCTTTTTTTTTTTTTTCAAGTCAAGGATGAAACCTGAAATTCCCTATGTCCATACTGGCACTTCTGGGTATGGCACAAGCACCTTAATCCTCAGGGAGCTTTGGGCTGGCTGGGAACAGAGTTAGCAGTACCAGTTTGCTAATTCCTCCTAGCTAATAGGTTAACACAAACCCACCAGCAGGAAATCAAGGGGCAGGGCTGTGTCTTGACATTTGCTGATTCCACCTGACTCCTGACTGCCACTGCAGACCTTTGGTTAAGAGCAATGAGCATTCCATGCAGCCAGCTGTTTGCAGCTGCCAGGCCTCTGTCCGCAGATTTAAAGACGGAGGAAAAGCTGTGTGCTTTGTTAGATCCCTGTATTAGGTGGCTTGAATGTGACCTGGAAAGCTTGAACTGCCCCTTTGCTTTCTAGATTTGTGTCCTGCAGTGGGCCTTCCAGTTGTAGTTTCTTCCTCTATGCTCTGGAAAGCAGATAGTCTCCAGGTGTGGCAAACTTGAATCCTTTTTTCTTTCCAAAATCTGTGGAAACTCTGTCTTGTTTCCCCTGCAGTTGCTTACACAGCTTGGAGGAGCTACTGGTGCTCTGCAGCGTGTTCGGCGTTTGTGCCCAGTCTGAACAGGCTGGGTCTGCTGATGGGTTCCAAAATCTGACAGCAGAGTAGATTTGAGTCAGCATCTGAGAGGGGAGAGCCAGAAGCGGGTTCATTTAGCCTACATGCTGTTGCACACCCGTTTTCAGGCGTGGAGGTGCTGATCCCATCTGTGCTGTGAATGTGCAGTGGCAGGTGCAGCGAGGCTCGACACAGCATCGTGCTCAGTAAAGGATCCTCAGACTCTGAACTAGGGGAGGCCCAGCAATGCTGGATTTTGAATGCCTGAGCCTATTACTTGCCTCATTTACTTTTCCCTCTCAGACTCGCTATAATTACACATGATTTGATCACTGCTGTACTGCCGATCCTAAAAAGAGTTTAGAAAAGAGAAACTGCCTTGCGTCCCCATAGCTGTGCTGCGTGGCAGTGGGGATTTTATAGGGCTTACATAAAGGTTTAAAGGGTCTCTGCAGCCTCTCCAGAAAAACTGTTTTTCTTTTTGCCTGGTGGAAGACGTGTGGTTGTCAAATACAAGAGAAATGTGCTGTGTCCATCAGTCAGATGGTACCTGGTAGCTTCCGTCTTTTTGTCAGGTGTCTGCTTTATAACAGCAGTCGTGAGGCAAATCCCATTCTGGTTGCAGAAAGTGTTTAACTGCCATGGCTCACATATTTGAGAGGAGTGGCCAGAAAAGTGGTAACCTTCCTCAGGGTTTCCTGCACACTGTTGAGTACAGACGATTTCAAGACAGAAGAGGACTGTGGTGTCCCTCTCCTTGCCCAGTTAGTGAGAGAGGACCGTTCCAGGTGCTGCTCAGAGAACCTCCCCTCCACTGAAACCCTCATTACGAAGTCTAGTGTGTTAGGGGTATTTGTCATGAACCTAAATCTCTAAATGCCTGTTAAGAGTGGTCTTTTTGTATAAAGGTTACATTTGATTTAACAGTTAGATTTGTTAAAAATTGGCCAAAGTCTTATCTTCAGGAGGTAGCCGTACAAAATAGAAGACCAGCATGAGACAGTCCTTACCTTTAGATTGTGTGAGCAGTGGTCCCACTCCTATGGGCTCTGGGGGAGCACCAGCAGCCTGGACTCGTGTCCTGGCTCAACCACACTGTATCTGTTTCACCAGACTGTAGTGGTTTAGTGATCAAATGAGTAATAGGTCCCCAACTGTAGAATATAAACTTCTGGCCATGCTCATATGACATCAGTATGTGGTGTTGTTTTTCGCTCTAGTTTGAAATCAGGCAGCTGAGGGCCCACCTTGCTCAGCAGGATCTGGACCTCGCTGCAGAGAGAGAGGCCGCGCTGCAGGTCCCCCATGTCCTGAACAAACAGAGCAGCAAGAGGTACAAGGTGGTGGCGACGGACGATTCGGACGACGAAGCCACCGAGAACATCACGGAGCTGCGACCTCCCCGAGGTGAGTGCTGCACAGCTGAGCCCTTACAGGGAGTTACTGAGCCCTCTAAACACCTCCACTGTGGCGGGGAATTGATTTCTTCACTGGGGACTGCAGTTTCCCATCCTTACAAAGGGGCCGCATCTGCTCCAAAGTGGCAGGAGCTGTTGTTGTATTTGTGAGCAGGTTCTAAACAGAGCCAAAGAAATGCCTTGGGAAGAAAATGACTATGATGTACCTTCCCAGTGTCCTCATGATTAGATCCATCAAACACTAAAGAAGCAGCAGCCAAATGAGAATTGGCCAAAGGATAATCACTCAGAGGTAAAAGCAGGGAAATTGAGAAGAACACTGAAAAACAGTTTTGGTCTTTGGCCACTTGCATTTCTGTGGTTTGGAGAGGACCCAAGCTGTGGGGCTTGCCTTGCCTGGAGGCTTTGCTCTCACCAGGCTGCTTAAAACTGCCAGTGTTGGACAGGCAGCTCTGGTGCCAGGAAAGGAGGGATGTGCAGCGTAGGCATCTCATGTCTGAGTGCCGTGTGGCTGTGGTGAGGAGCACTCTGGTGTCTGTAGATGTGTGGTTCAGGGAAATACCAAGAGTTATATTTGCTTGGATCAGTTTTTATTATATAAGTATTAGACCTGAAGTTTTTTCTGCACAAGACATAGCTCTTTTTCCTGTGATCCTGCAGCCCTTACAATGGAGTGCAGAATGTGTCCTGCTTTCGGTAACATTTAATGTAATGTTCCAGAGGAGACAACACTGTTTACCTTAGTGGTATGTTAGTCTTCCTTGGACATCTTAGCTTGATTATTTTGGTAGATGAGCAGTATGTGAATATGTTGGAATTAGAGGTTTGCATGTTATCTTTACATCGGTCAAACTCCTTAAAATTCAAGGCACAGATACTTCAATCAAAATCTGTAAGAGAAAAAGCACACCAGACATTTTCAAATTATCATCCTTTCCTTTCTCTACAGAGTAATGAAAGCATGTAGAAATTGTTTTGTTTTTTTCTCTTTATAATATCTAAGTACTAACCACAGTGAAGCCATTAATTATTCCTGATATGAAATTGTATTTAAAAGCAGACAGTTGAGCAGACTGCCCCTTAAAATGCATTTCCCCCTTTTTTGTAGTATTTCAGAGGTTTTCCCAGTGGATATATTATAATTTATGTATGTGTTCCTTGAGGGTTACATTTGGAAATGAAGTGTTGCTCACATTGTAAGGAGGCTTGCTGAAATTTTAGTGCTGTGGAGATCATCTAAAAATTCTTCTGTCCAAGGTATTCATTCCAACGTCCAGATTAACATGGTTACTCATTATTTGTGTCTCCCTGTAAAATTCTGCCCACACTTGCAACAAAGTAGACACATGATCTTCAAGATTGATTTCTGCATTGAGTTAGGTTGCTTGATGAGAGAGACTCATACTTTTCACTGAAAAAAGATATTCAGCAAATAAGAAAACATGCATTACTTTATAGATTGGGTGAGGTGCAGCTATGTTATGTTTGGGTTATATTTATACTGAGTAGGCAGAATTAATTTCTGATTCCCAGAAATCATCTAAAAGTACCAGAGGACCTTTATCTGGTGCATTGTATCATATATTACATACAAAGTCTTTGTAGATGCATTGGGTGCTTGTCTTATTGCAACCTAAATTAGGGTGCCTCTGTTTTAACAATTTTAACGGATTTATGTTGAATGAGGCAGGAGTTGGACAGAAAAAATTCCCCTGTGTTCCTTTAGCAAGGGACAACAGTCTGTGGTCTCTGCCATCACACTGAGCTGCTGAGAAGGGGCCCGGTTCTGCATAAGAAACCACACACTCAACAGTAGCATTCAGTGCTTTAGTTCATAATCCAGGTAACAGGCAACTGAGATAGAGGATTTTGCATGTAATTTCCTGGACTGTTTTGCAAAGAAAGAAGTAGTAAGCTATCAAGGCTCTGAATCCTGCACTAGCAGTGCTTCTGTGTAACTTTGAAACCTCACCTCACAGCTTGAGAAGGCAGTTACCTCTGGGGAGGAAGGATCATGAGCCAGTCCTGCCTCATTCTTCTCCCTCCCCACCTCAGCTGGGGCTTGCTCTCCCAACACCAACTTTTACTCCCAGTAATATTCTGGCAGTTGCTACAGCAGCTTTCACCATCATCACTTTGCTGCCAGTATCTTCTTCACCATGGCCATTCTGACCATGTATTAGCCAGTGGTGTGTGGGATGGAAGAAGGGCATGGCTTTGGCAGAAGGTGCCTCTGTGTGCACTCTGTGGGAAGGGGATATCCAGCTGGTGTAGGATCTTCCATCTCCCCCCCTGCTGAGGCATGTGCAATACTCCTGAGACATGGCTTTGCAGAGCACAGACCATCCAGACAATTCCTGCACCCTCCCATTCTCCCGTGCTGCAGTTACACTGGCTGTGCTGTCTTCAGGGCTTTCCACACCACTTGCTCTGCCTGGGACTTCAGCCACCGATGTTTTAACTCCTGACTTTTGGGTCAAGTGTTACGTTTTGCAAGTTACCCTCTGTGTCAGACCACATTAGGGATTGCTTTGCATCCATTTTCTCGAAGCTGTGTTTTTCCTCCTTAAAAGAATCCAGAGTGATGGCTGCAGTTAATCATCCTGTGTGCCACATGGCACTTGTGAGCTTTGAAACATATCTGCAGTTGCCTGTTGCACTGATTAGTTAGAGGAGAAATAAGGGACCAAGTCACTAATACTGTCAAAAGAAAAGCAACAGTTCAAAGCCACGATTCAGCTGTTTGGCAGAACAGGCTCTGATGTGCTGTTCTTTTATGCTCTGGCAGAACATTAGCCCTACATATAACACCTGAGGCTCGGGATGGAATGGAATGCCTGTGTTTTTGCCAAACGTAACTTTGTCAGCCTTCAAAAAATCACTGTCTTCTGAGAGCACTGAATGCTGCCAAAGCAGCAAGCTTAAGTTGGCTAGAGAACATACTGCATGAGAAGATGGGATATTCCATCTCAGGCTAATCTTATTTCCCCCATCTGTATGGAACAATGGAAACATTCAGTGCAGAATACCTCACCACGGAGGCTTATGGAGTAAGAAAGCATTGAGACCTTTTACACATTTCCCTACCTGGAAGTTTTATGGGATAGTGCATAAGTTAAAGCTCCTCAGGGGCAGCTGTAGCTTGTACTCTGGTATTTACACTGGATTTTGTGCAACCATTTATGACAGCATTCAGTAAAGTAAGTCAGGTTACCCCAATATCACGTGGTACATGTAGCACCTCAGGGAATTTGTGCAGAGACACCCACTGTGACCTGCACCAGGAGAGCTGTTCTGGCTGATTTGGGAACTTTCAGTGTCTGTTTTCACCTTGCCTTTCCTTCTGCAGATCTCTTACTTTAAAGTGCCCTAATTGCAGGTACAAGACCAGGAGAAGCAAGAGCTCTGGTCAGATGGACAATGGGCCCTCCCATAACTCCCCAGCAAACATTTCATGCCTCCTTTTGAAGGATCACGTCTTGAGGCCATACAGCTGCAAGATGTCTCTGTGCTAATTCTGTGAACAGTGAGCTGGGTGCTGCCTCACACGCTTCTGTCTCCCCACAGCAGTTCACAAGAGACCTCCTGACATAGCAGGAATAACTCTGTGGAAAATATATGAATATAGGCTATTTCCTAATTAATTTAGTTAAGAAGCAGGAATTTTTTTCACCTTTAACTTGCTTCGAATTGACATTTTATTTCTCTTGCCAAAAACTTGATCTCCAGAGCAGACAAAGGTGAAGGCTGAAACACAGGCTTCAGCCTGCAAGTCAAAAGGTACCAGTATCAACACCAGGAAGGATGACAGACCCAAGAGAAGGGCAGGGCTTGAGGAGCTGCAGGCCCAGGGCAGAGCTCTGACGTTTGCTGCACTGTGAGCACTTTACCTTCCCTGCCTCCGTTTGTGAAGAGCTTGGGCTGAGAGCTGCTGCATGTGAATGCAGCATCACTAATGATTTTCATTGTGGTCAGCCTTTCTCTAAGAGCAAGGGAAGTATCCTAAGTGCTCCTTTCTTCTTCCCAGACATGGTTGCCATTTGACATAATGGCAAATATTATCCTATCTATTAATCTCTAAATTATAAAGGAAGTTCTAAATTATAAAGGACTTCTTACCTCATGCAGTATGTAACTGGTCATGGTCAGAATAACAGCTAATGTTTTCTGGTCCTGCACAAATCATTTTTAGTGTTTGGTATACAAAGTTCCAGGCTTCAGGGAATGCCAGGTTCACAGTGCCCCATCTAGCCATTAATACTTCCTTCCAAAATTTATTATTCTTTAATCTCTCCCATAATATATGAATTAGAGTCCCTAGTGGAAATTCCTCATTTTCCTGCATATATCATTTCAGTTTTTGAAATTCTACAATACTGCCATAGTGTAAGATTAATATGCCACCCTTCTATTCCTTTGAGCAAGAACTGGGACTTCACATCGCCAAAAGCTTATTTTAACTGTTCTGAGTCAAATTTCCATTTTTATGGGGTTAGCACTAAGTCTTTTGCTTTGGGGGACTTCTGCAATTTATGATCATGCTTTAGAGAAAAGTAAAGCTTGCTCTCCCTGTAGATACCCATGTTTTGTAAGTGAAGAAAGTAGGATATTGGGAGGGGAGCGTGAAAAATTCTGGAGCTTCAGAGGGCTTCTCCTAAGATTATTCATAAGCTGTTTGAGAAGGCAAAGCAGGGCACTTTTTTTGTCAGGATTGTGTCAGTTGTTCCTTGCAAGGCAGTCTGAGCTGGTTGGATGCTTTTAAACTCTAAGCCAGTTTCTTTGGTGATCATCTGTTAGTGCTCTGAGAGAGTCCTGCTAGTGCAAAACAATAGATAAAAAATAGTTTATGGTTATTTTCAAATGTTGAAATGTATCTACTTTGAAGCCTAGTCCTGGAAATAGTTGTATCCTAAGTGCACTCCCCTTAAATTTGGCTTCTCTCTAGGTGCCTCTTTCAGGCTTTGTGGTTCTCTGTGCACTGAGCATCCA